ACGAAGTGCAAAGACCTATTTAGGGCCTGAGCACGAAGTGCAAAGACCTATTTAGGGCCTGAGCACGAAGTGCAAAGACCTATTGTTCTTCGTGTTATTCTTATTCTTATTAGGGCCTGAGCACGAAGTGTGCGAAGACCTATTGAAATCGTGGGTGTTATTATTCTCATTTTCCTTGATCTGCGCTTTGGACCTGTTTTTGAGGGGGTTCCCACACTGTTCACGTAGCGACATTTGGCAACGCCGGCAGGACGGGTGAAAATGTTAACATTCTGGATTCGATGGTTGCAAAATTTCCGACATGCTCTCTAGCGCCACCTGTGAAAATTCAGTTTTAGAAAAATGTACATACATTCGCCGCGTAACTCGGATGGACCTGACATTTTGCACACTTACCCGGGCGGAGCAGCTCTACATATTATCCTCTCATATCCCTAAGCTCCGCCTACTTTGATTTTTTTTAAATTAGCATAATGTGAAAAACAGTGAAATATTAACTACAATTTCAATTTTTTGCTTTTCAACACCAAACTTAGTGTACAGCATCAGTGAAGGGTCACACACACTACCGTAGAACATGAGCACGACGTGTGGAAAAATGTGGCCGACATCAATCGCAACGTATTAGCAAAAAGGTGTGGCTTAGACATAAATGCTCCTAATTCATCCACAATGTATCCAAATATCACAGATTTCGGTGGAAAGGTTCAGTCTGTCTTGGGGAATAGGCACAAAAAAGCATGTTCATTTTGGACAATAGGGGGCGCCAAAAGCACAACAAATTTATACCTGAAGATCCGATAGACGAAATAAATATATTTTGTCATACACATACTGGCAGGATGAGTATCAACTGAGATTTAAAGGGGCGCAACCAATGACGGAAGTGGGCGTGACCTATTCAGCTTTATGTCGAAATCGAAGGGTTAAAAACCATTACCGACCCATAAGTAGCGGGAAAATACAGTTACGGCCTTTAAACTCGGAACACACGTCACAGCCCACGGCCTCCTCCAGACTATCCAAAAACATCGTGCGTTTTTGCAAATACGGCTCAGTAGCGCCCCCTATTGTGCGGTAGTGACATATAGTTTCTTTGAGCGACCCGAGTCTTGGCACAGACATGCCTCATGGAATTGCCGACATATTTCAAAATGGCTTCCATTAGCCCCTCCCCCCATAAATTCGGCCATTTTGGAAAATGTGCGTTTTAGGCGCTTTTGCAAACTATTGTCGTAGGGAAATGATCGGAAAAATTCCAATCCAGCACAAGTTCAGCCCATATCCAATGTGATGCTAAATTAAGAAACGCATTGTCGACCGCTCACACGGGGTGCTCGTAAGCTAATGGAGAATGTGGCATGTTCGACGATGTAGTCACATATAGTTTCTCCCAGCGACCCGAGTCTTGGCACAGAAATGCCTCATGGAATTGCCGACATATTTCAAAATGGCTTCCATTAGCCCCTCCCCCCATAAAGTCGGCCATTTTGGAAAATGTGCGTTTTAGGCGCTTTTGCAAACTATTGTCGTAGGGAAATGATCGGAAAAATTCCAATCCAGCACAAGTTCAGCCCATATCCAATGTGATGCTAAATTCAGAAACGCATTGTCGACCGCTCACACGGGGTGCTCGTAAGCTAACAGAGAATGTGGCATGTTCGACGATTTAAATAGCACAAATTCGCTAAAATGACCTTCGGACGTGAAACTTGGGACAGACGTCACAGCCCAGGACCTTTTCCAGAATGTACAATAAAATCGTGCGTTTTGTGAAATCAGCTCAGTAGCGCCCCCTATTGTGCGGTATTCACATATAGTTTCTCCCAACTACCCGAATGTTGGCACAGACGTTCCTCATGGAATTGCGGACATATTTCCAAATGGCTTCCATTATCCCCGCCCCCCAGAAAGTCGGCCATTTTGAGAAGTGGCCGTTATTCATGCATTTTAACCACATTTTTGCTCACACCTCCTAGGGAAATGATCGGGAAAATTCCAGTCCAGGACACGTTCAGCCCATATCCAACATCATGCTATATGGCGAATAAAATAGTTGCTAGCTCAATCGGGGCGGACGTTAGCTAACAGAGAATGTACCATTTTGGACGAGGGTTAGGGTTAGGGGTTACTCCAAACTACGCCCATATAGTTTTCCCGATATTCACCACACGCTGTATACACATTGCTCTTATGATTGCACACATATTTCAAATTGCTTTTCATTAGCCCCGCCCCCCAGAAAAATGGCAATTTGGAAAGATGGCCGTTTTTCATGCATTTTCTGCACATTTTTGCACACTGCTCTTGGGGAAATGATCGTAAAAATTCCACTCCAGGACCAGTTCAGCCCATATCCACAGCCATGCTAAATTGGGAATAAAAAAGTTGCCAACTCAATCGGGGCAGTCGTAAGCTAACAGACAATGTAACATTTTTGACGAGGGTTAGGGTTAGGGTTAGGGGTTACTCCAAACTAATCGCATATAGTTTACCCGATATTCATGAAACGCTGTATACACATTGCTCTTATGATTGCACACATATTTCAAATTGCTTTTCATTAGCCCCGCCCCCCAGAAAAATGGCAATTTTGAAAGATGGCCGTTTGTCATGCATTTTGAGCACATTTTTGCTCACACCTCCTAGGGAAATGATCGGACAAATTCCAGTCAAGGACAAATTATGCCCATATCCACAGCCATGCTGAATTGGGAATGAAGAAGTTGCTAACTCAATCGGGGCGGTCGTAAGCTAACAGAGAATGTACCATTTTTGACGAGGGTTAGGGTTAGGGTTAGGGGTTACTCCAAACTAATCGCATATAGTTTTCCCGATATTCATGAAACGCTGTATACACATTGCTATTATCATGGCACACATTTTTCAAAAGGCGTTTCATTAGCCCCGCCCCCAAGAAAAATGGCCATTTTGAAAGATGGCCGTTTGTCATGCATTTTGAGCACATTTTTGCACACTGCTCTTAGGGAAATGATCGGACAAATTCCAGTCAAGGACAAATTATGCCCATATCCACAGCCATGCTGAATTGGGAATGAAAAAGTTGCTAGCTCAATCGGGGCAGTCGAGAGCTAACAGAGAAGATACCATTTTTCACGATTTACACTATTTGGTTTCATGAAAAATTTCAACTGTTTATTTGTAGATATCTCTAAAGCATACAAATACAGTGTGTAATGTCGGCCTGTTACTTATATTACTGAGTGATATATATTATACACAGTCTTCTGCTTTCTGCACTGGCCTCAGCAGCTGTTGTCACTGTAAATGTCGGCTCACAATTAAAGCAGTTGTATTAAAAATATACATAGCCTAATATCCTGAGGACATGCGTTGATTGAGTAAACAAACGGTAAAGGGAAGAAAGTCTGCACAACCCACTGCACCACACGCCACGGTTACTGCTCCTCCAGACAGCCTCCGCGATAATCGATCCTCGACGAGCCTTTACAGAAATAAGATTTCCTTCCAGGCGGCGCGCCCACATCCGTTTCCGGGTCGCTGCCGGAGGACCTGGGACTCCGGGACGCCTCATTTCGGAGGACTCGCGCGGCTCTCCTGTGCGCCGGGACGACCGGCGACCCTCCCCTACGGGCGCTCGGAGGCGAAGGCCCGCCCACAACTGCGTGCACGTCTGTGACCGCAGTTTTAATTGTATTTAATCTTGTGGAAGTGCAGATCCCCTGTCCTCCACCAGGGGGTGCTGCAGCACCCTCAGCACCCCTACTTCCCACGGCCCTGGGTGAGCAGCAGAGGTGGGGAGAGGTGGGGCTATTGCGTCATCATTATCAGAAAATGATTGTATAGAGGCTTACACACAGAGCCGTTGGACCCCCCAGAGCGTTGCGTATGGCGTTCTATCCACCTTGGGACCCGTTATCGTTACCGTAGTCGTTTACTGCCATATTCTGTCGTCCTAGTGTGGCCGAACGGTCTATATGACACAAAACGGTAACGGAAACTACCGTGGGGCTGGGGCCTAAGGCGTATAGCAGGCATCCTCAAAGTCCGGACTCCGGTCCGGATCCGGACCGAACCACAACTGTCTCTGGACTCTGAGCAAATTATACTTTTCGTATGTATTATCTGTATTATCTGTGTTATCTGTGAGACATCGCCACAACGCAACGAGTCAACATTCTCCGCTATGTCCACTGCAAACAGCGCTCTGCATGTCGGACTGTTCCACTGTTTGTGTGTCTTATTGAAACACATTTTTTGGACCTTTAAGATTTGTATTTGAGTACCCCTGGCGTATAGTAATCATAGATAACACGGCAGGGTGCGTTACAGTTTGTTTTCATCTGATTTCAATTAAACAAAGTCTTGGCTTTCAGAATATTAAACTTGTTTCGTCAAAGCAGGCATAACAACAACACACACACACACACACACACACACACACACACACACACACACACACACACACACACACACACACACACACACTCGCGAGCCTCCCCCAGACCAGTAATCCAAACGACAATATGTTCCCTCCGTAGTATTTTGATAATTTGCAAATAATCAATCAGATCGATGGATTCCAGAGAAGAGGAAACTTTGAAGGCCTTTTTCTCAAAGTGATGACTCGGTGACAATCATTATATAATGTGACATATGTTGCTTAATATTTGGAGTACAAAAACAATCCTGATATCATTAGAAAGCTAGGAATCTCCTCTTTCCAACAGTGTATACAACTCAAAATGTGTCTTCGGGTCAATGCGACTGATTTTGATGGAGCAGGTCACATATACAGAGTAAAGGTTGAATATATATACTAAGCTACATCAAACACAGGTATCTGGTTTCTATGTGTTATCAGTGGGCAGATTGGACATGCTGATGAAAGCAGAGTGAAGTCAACACACTGGGATAATAACACGTTTTCATTGATGTTTCATTAAGAAATACCACAAGAAAGAAGAAGAACTGTAGGAATAAAATAACTTCTGTCTTTATTTATTCTCCTCTTACAGGCAGCGCCTCTCGCCCCCTGACCATGGACCTAACATCGCCAGCAGGTATTCACTTCTCCTGATTGTTATCAGGGAAACCTGAATGAGTTGTTTTTCTACTTTATTAAACAGGAATACTTTTACATTCAATTTTGACTTTCAAAATGAAGATTTGGTCTTTAGAAAAACGTCCTCCTCCTCCTCCCCTCTCCTCCCCTCTTCCTCCTCCTCTTCCTCCTCCTCCTCCTCCTCCTCCTAGTTTAATTACTTAAAATAAATATGTTTTTAAGGTTTTGATGAGTTTAAAAATCATAAATAACCAAAGAAACATGTAATGTAACTTCTTCTTTAATCTCTCAGCCCCTCCACAGTACTCCAAAGTGCACCGATGGGTACACACACCCCCATTTGAGAAACACTAGTCCAGCTGACCTCCTTTGTCAAACATGTTTTGCTATGAGAGGACATTTGTAACACCATCTTTTAGTCAGTAAGCTCCTGAACCTTCCACCTGTCTGTCAACGCTCCATCTCTGCAGGACTGAGGAGGAAACAGAAGAATCTCGTGCAAAGAGACGTGTGCTCAGGAAGTTGGAGTCAATGGAAGAATCGATTGCTCTCATACGGTAAGAGTCCATGTATATGTAGGTCAACAGAACCTTTTGAGCTGAATTGTCTTGAGAGTAAAACTATCATTTAACACTACTTTACTTTGCCTGCATTGTTGATTTATATCTATTTGCCTAGTCCTTGTTATTTATTTAAATGTGATGCGATTTTTCTTCAGATTATGGAAATATATGGAATAGTAATAGTATGAATCATAAAAACCAAAAATGACATGAGATAAACTCTGAACTTTAACAGGTGAATGAACATTTGTGACCCGCTCTATCGAAATCAGTCGGAAGTCTCAACGGCTCATTTCAAAATAAACGTGGATTTGTGTAAAAAACGAGTTTTTCGGGGTTCGGGTGTTTTGTTTGATTTTAAACAAACAAAGTCTTGGCTTTCAGAATATGAAACTTTTATTTCCAAAATCACACGATAAATACATGTTTGAAGCTTGTAAAGGGAAGATGACAGCTCTCACTCGCACCCTGCTCTTCCTCAGCGCCGCTCCCCCTCCCTCCGCTGACATTATGAATGCAAGGCGTATAGTAATCATAGATAACACGGCAGGGTCCGTTACAGTTTGTTTTCATCTGATTTCAAATAAACAAAGTATTGGCTTTCAGAATATTAAACTTGTTTCGTCAAATTCAGATGATAAATACAACTTTGAAGCTTGTAACGGCATAATTACAAGCGGAGAACGGAGTAACGTAACGTCACAGCAGGCATAACAACAGCCGGTGTTTCTCGTGAGTGTTTTCCCCGGGAAACAAACACAATACACACAAATGCAAAAATACACAAACACACACACACACACACACACACACACACACACACACACACACACACACACACACACACACACTCGCGAGCCTCCCCCAGACCAGTAATCCAAACGACAATATGTTCCCTCCGTAGTATTTTGATAATTTGCTAATAACCAATCAGATCGATGGATTCCAGAGAAGAGGAAACTTTGAAGGCCTTTTTCTCAAAGTGATGACTCGGTAACAATCATTATATAATGTGACATATGTTGCTTAATATTTGGAGTACAAAAACAATCCAGATATCATTAGAAAGCTAGGAATCTCCTCTTTCCAATAGTGTATACAACTCAAAATGTGTCTTCGGGTCAATGCAACTGATTTTGATGGAGCGGGTCACATATACAGAGTAAAGGTTGAATATATATCAGGGATGCAAACTTGTCACCTTTCGGCGAAATTCGCCGTTTTGAATCCAAAATAGGTCGTTTGTGTGATTCATGTAGATCTGCAATAAAAATATTTGTGGGGTATGGGGGGGGGTCTGGGACCCGGAGTAATCTGCGGCCGCGAGCTGTTATGTGCCATCATGACACGCGTGGTGTTCTTTTTTTATATATTATAATGCAGCGCGAGCTGTGTGCTCGAGTCTTCCTGCCTGTCGGCTCTGCTCATGGATGTATAATGAGGCTCTGCTGCTCCGCGATGAGGGTCTAGCTTCAGCAGCTACATTACCTACGGTGCGTTCGTTAATATTAACTGTGTGGTCCGGAGTCACTGTGGCACAGACTGGACCGCTGGTGAACAGCTGCAGTGGCGCCCCCCCTCTTCCCACATTAAAAATTAAAAAATATATATTTAAAAAATATCTTTTTCATTTTTATTTTTATTTTTAATAAACAAGGTCAATATTATATAATTGGTATCAGTAAAATGTATAATCTACAATAAAATCTTGTTTAAAATTGTGTTACGATGTCTAAAGTTACTGATAAGTCACATGTTTCCTGCCTGGCCTTGTCCGTGTATCATTACTCCCTCTCGTCTGGGCGCTATGCACAGCGCCCAGACGAGAGTGCAGCAAGTGCAGCAGAAGCCAACTGTTGCTATCTTTAAACTATGCCGCCGAAACATAATTTCAGCCAATCAGCGTCGTCAAATCTGATAGTCACAGGGCTCCTACGTCAGCGCCCGGTGCAGTCTGTGAGTTGTTTGGACTCGTATCCAAGGAGACAAAACAGGAAGCTGTCATACACTCTGGAAGCTACCATTAGCAGCTAATGAAAACTCAGTTTTTTACATAAAAATTGAATTATGGATCATCAATCATTTTTCAAAGTGACAGACACATTGGATTAACCTATGGATTAACCTTCAGCTGCGTTTTTCTCGTTTTTGATCAGAATTGTTATTCTGCAAAAGGTGAGCATATCTCCATGTTTTGCTACCTAAAGCTACGTCGTGATGTCTGTATTTGCTTCCCCTGTCGCGAGTTCTGATCGCTCAGTGATGATACTTATATTTCTAGAATTTGTGGAATCTCAGCTTGTAAGCTTGTTTGTGCATATCCGATAAGTATATCGATTGATTTATACCTAGAGTGCGTTAGCATTTTTTCGCTCAGGGCTCATTTAGACGCTTCTTGTGAGACTTGTGTTTTGTTTCGGTAAACATGGTTCATATCATCAGTTAGATGCGTTTCCTCTGAGTAGGACACATGAATAGTTTATTACATTTTAAGAAGCCCTGAGACACAGTTTCGTGAGAAAAAAAACGGGGGAAAAAAGCCCCTTAACAGGTTAAATGGGAATTAAATCAGTGTTCCCAAAGCCCCGGTGTTCTGCAGTTTGTGTGGGCATACTGTACTGTTGCACAGTTTATGCTGTAGAAACTATGTCCAGGACAAGGTGTTTGGAAGTTTTGGAAGATTCATAGCTCTAACCACACTGAAGTTATGGAGGTATTGATCAGTCTTCTCATATTTTTAAGCCTCAAATTGTCCTTCTCTCTCCCAACCCCCTCCCCCCCTCTAACATCACCAGAAGTCATAATTTAAGGGGTCTTTTCTCAAAAAAAATTACCGGGGGAGCATCCCCCAGGACCCCCCTAGTATTCTTTGATCACCATTTCCACAGCCCCACCTAAAATATTTTCCACCAGCCGCCACTGAACAGCTGTTAGAACGGGCCGTTCAGGTGTTCAGAGCAGAGCTCCCTGTTGGAGCAGCAGAGCGTGATGTGCACTGAAAAGTTTTTCTGTTGCAATATTATTTAAGGAATCGTTGAGCTAGCTAACTAGCATACATTGTCACTATCTGCGAACGTTAGCTTTAGCCTTCGTTTTCTAATAGTTTTTTTCATAGGCTATAAACGGAGGTGGTATAAGTATAGATCTTGTACTTGAGTAAAGTAGAAGTACTCAGATCTTGTACTTGAGTAAAGTAGAAGTACTTAGATCTTGTACTTGAGTAAAGTAGAAGTACTTAGATCTTGTACTTGAGTAAAAGTAGAAGTACTCAGATCTTGTTCTTGAGTAAAGTAGAAGTACTCAGATCTTGTACTTGAGTAAAAGTAGAAGCACTCAGATCTTGTACTTGAGTAAAAGTATCAGTACTCAGGTCTTGTACTCAAATCTTGTACTTGAGTAAAAGTAGAAGTACCAGAGTGTAGGAATACTCTGTTACAGTAAAAGTCCTGCATTCAAAATGTTCCTCAAGTAAAAGTAGAAAAGTATTCTCATCAAAATATAGTGAAAGTAGCGACAGTAAAAGTAGTCATTGTGCAGATTGGTCCATTTCAGAATAATATATATGATATGTTTTATAATGATTGATCATGAAAGTGTTCTCAAAGCTGGTAAAGGTGCAGCTAGTTTGAATGACTTTGTATACTGCAGGGTAGCTTGTGGATTTACTCCAGGTGGAACTAAAGTCTGATTTAACACTTGATTATATTTCACATCATTCATCCAGATCTGTGAAGTAACTAATGGTATTCAATACATGTAGTGGAGGAAAAGTACACCATTTACCTTTGAACTGTAGAGGAGTAGAAGAACAAAGTAGCAAAACATTGAAATACTAAAGAACAAGTATCTCAACATTGTACCTAAGTATAGTACTTTAGTTTATGAACTTAGTTACTTTACACCAGTGGCTATAAAGATAGAAAGACTAAGCTTGCACAGAGGCATGAAAATACATTTTCAAAATGCTCAACAGTCCTGCCAAAATTATAAACTGACTGCTACACAATTAAAATAAATGCTTTTATATATTTCTATTAGATATGACTCTTTGGCGTTTCTGTTATTATTAACACTGCTGCTTTAGTTGTTCTGACTGCTAACATCCTGTTATTCCTCATTTTAAAGCCGATATTCCGTGGGGTCGGGGGGGTCTCGGATCCTTGTCACCTTTTTTTTTTTTTACCTTGCATCCCTGTATATACATTATATAAGCTACATAAAACACATGTATCTGGGTTTCTATTAGGGGTGTAACGGTTCACAAACATTTCGGTTCAGTACGTACCTCGGTTTTTAGGTCACGGTTCGGTACGTTTTCGGTACAGCAGAAAAAATGATCACAAAACATAAAATATTTTTTGGGGGTTTTTAATAATTATTAAACTGTGAATAATGTATTCACTCAAATAAATACAAAATATATTAAAATAAACATTCAGGTGCAGCATTTCGATGAACTGAAATAATCTGTATTTGAACTGTACTGTACTTTACTAGTACCTAAGCAGCCAGCTTGACATTAGGACTTGCTTGTCATTGTTTTTTCATGTTTTTTTTAAGAAAGATTAACTTGTCCACACTGCTTGCCGAAAGGGCAGATCTGCTGGCACTAACAATGTCTCCTGCTGTGGAGAACACCCTCTCGCTAGGGACAGAGGTAGCAGATACAGCCAGGTAGCGCTTTGCTAACATGGCAACATAAGGATATTTGGCGTTTGTAATAGCTTTGGCTCGGTCTGAACTTTTTGCGAGTGTTGGAGGCTTAAATGCTAGTGGGAGTTGGGTTTGCACTTCAGTCATTTTTCTTTTGGTACCGGTGATATTCACGTTCGGGTGATGCCTTTTCAAATGAGTGTGCCAGTTTGATGTATTGCCAGCCGCGTAACCAATTTTAGTTGAACAATGCCGACAAACAGCTTTGGTTCGGTCCACCTTTTACATTACATTACATGTTACTTGTTAGACGCTTTTATCCAAAGCGACTTACATACTCA